TTGCTGGATCAGTTTAAAATAATGTAGGTGTATGTATGTACATTATCCAATAAAGCATCACTGTGTATCAAGTAAGTGCCACAATGCAAAAAGCCAATAAAGAATGTGTCCTGAACTTAAGTTAAACCCAAGTTCACTCAAGAAAAATTTAACTGTTTAATGAATTCTGACTTCTTTTTTTTATTTATTGTATTCGTATTTATGTCTACAACAGCAAGTGAAGAGCTAACACAGTAAGGTCGGTTTTTGTAAGGGGCTGAACCTCAGTGCATACTATAGCAACCACAGTAATCCATCCCATGACAAAAACTTCCACCTGTGTGTAATGACATAAAAATAAATCAGTAGATGATACAGAAACAATATAAAATAAAATTATACTTGAAAGCTTACATAGAAATTATCTTCAATTAGTTTAAGTTAAATCTTGTTTTGTTCAGAAAATCATCCAAAATGTAGGTTTCCAAACTTAATATATGAAATGATTAGCAGCATCATGTTGCTATTATTGTCTAAATAAGAACAGAAATAAAATAGGAATGTACATCTGCTAAATGTAGGCAGCAGAAACATTAATGACACACCCCATCGGCCCATTGTTTTTGTACAAGCATGCATCACTGTGTATGGAATGGCAACCACAGTGTCAAAAGCCATTACAAAAACTGACTTGGTGACTAATCACAATACCGGGTAGAATCTGGAGGAAAAAAAGTTTTCATACATTATCCCTTTATATTGTATAAAAACATACTGTATTGATGTGTATCTTTAGATGTATATTTATAACCTCTTTTTCCTCACATAGCATTTTTTTTAACCAACAATTTCAACCTTGGAATTTTTTTCTGTACCAGGGCCTCTATGAATGTTATGTTATTAAAACACAACCTGCTGCCATTTTCTCCATATCATGTCACAGAACAAAGTGCACACTCGTGAAAGGTATATGTACACACACACACACACACAGATATACATATTGTATGTGTGTGAATGTATACATGAACAGATTTTCAAAATTGATTGAGGTTAAAATAGAATAATTTCAACTAAATATGAAAGTTTTTGTGTTAATTCATGAGAACAGTTGTAGAAAAGAAGGAGAGTGTCTTCACATTGTGCTTTAAGACGCAAAGGTATTTGTAAGGCTTTCAGTCACTGTGTGGGGTGGGAGCCACAGTGAGAAATGGCACTACAAAAACCGAGCTTCGTTCAAAATTAAATCAACGACGCCTGATAAGGAACTGGCATTCTTCTTAATGTAGGAAATTAATAAAATTACATTATGTCAGCAGTCTGACGGCAGCCTGTTTTTTTTCTAATCATACAAACCAGACAAGCGTTATACTGCTGAAAACTGGTCTAAACTTGCAACAGACCTGAACAAACACATGTAGTGAGAAATAATTGAGAGGCCACAAGTATTACATAAAGACAGTTCCATACGCGGTGATGGATGCTGTTGTGCCATAACCCAGTCCACATTTTGAGCCTGTGCTGGATCAGATCTAATGTATGTTTTACCATCCACCAACATCTCAGTAAGGTTTTGGGGTGCAGCAAACAACATGTTTACTGTCACCACAATGATAAATCAACTGTAAAATAAAAATCCACATTTTAAATGCTTGTAGGTAATCAGAAACGAGTCGGATTGCACTTGGAAAAGGCATTTTCGAGTACATGTGCAAATTCTCCACATTTTGGACCTGTGGTTACCATGATCTTTACTGGTATATTTATGTAACACACAGGAAACCCTCATCACCACAAAACAGGTGTTTCCGCAACTATTTGACAAACGGAAATTCTGGACTGTAAGCAGTGGCAAATCTCCCAGAGCAGCCCGCATTTTCATGCTGAGCTCTCAAAGAAAATTAGCTCCAATTTAACTTTCACCATGAGTTTGAGAACTATTTGTTGTTTTATAAATGATCAGTGAGGTTGAGGGAAATCCATCATTATGACTCCTTAGTGTGTCAATAATATGGGAATTATAAATTTGGCTCTCAGATAATGTAGTTAGAAAGTTATGGAGAAGCCAGGGGAAGAGGATCAAAACATTGAATTACAAGGAAGGCAAGGACAGACAGAGACACCAAAGTTCTTATGGAAACTCTCTACTAATTTAGGTACTGGCAAGGCAAAACTTCCGTGTAATCTAAACTATAAACTTGATACAACTAAGAATGGAGTCACTGACAAAAAGAAAAAACAAACACACATGGACCAATAGAAAAGACAAATCTGTCAATACGAGCGCAACACAGGACGCAGATGCAGAGCTTGGCAGTTTCAAGGTCTTTATTGATAACAAAAATTCACACTCTTAGAGTGGAAGCACTAGGCTATGAAATATACGACAATCACTATTACAAGGTATAACAAAGACTGTGGACAAAGTTCAAAATAATAATCACTCTTACGAGGTATAACAAAACGACAAACAGTACAAAATACACTCTTTTGAGGAGTTCTTTGGGAATCGAGGCAAGGAATACTATGAAGATCAGGGCTCAGGTTCAATGGTCGAAACAACAAACATAACAAAACACACTGGCAAAAGTCCACGGGGGACACAGACTATTTAGACACATGAAGGGAAGGGAACCCTAGGTTAAAACATTCGGTAATTAGGGGAGACAATCAGGCATGTAACACATAGGGAAGTGCAAGTGAAACGAGAGGAGATCTACTTTTCAAAGTAAAACAAGAAATGACAAGACCAAGACATGACAAAACACACAAAAAAAACCCAGGCGTGATAAAATCCCAGTTCAGTCGGATCAGTTCCACCTCAGTGTGCCCCTCATAATCCCCCACCTGCGGAAGGACCCCATATTAAACCCTTTCAAAGAGCGTACAAAAAAGTACATGCAAACACACACAATGACAAAACAAATTGCAATCGTAAAGAGTTTCATAATTTTTATGGAAAGGTTCGAGATGAAATGATCATTTTATGAAATATTTTTCTGAGGAGAAATTCGTTAAAAACCATTATAGGTTTAACTGAGAGAGGTTTTCCGGAGAAAAGTCGTAGGCTTACATAAAATACTCTTTAATATCTTTAAGGTGGAAATGATTCCTCCCACAGATGATGTGCATTACTTTCCACTTGGACAAATGGAAATGGCTGCTGTCCTTCGTGTGTCAGTGTCTAGCACAGTTTGTGTTTTATTAAGGCCCCAGAGCTTGATGTTCTGTTTCACCTGTTGTCTTCTCTATAAACCTGGGGTTAGATTCTTGCAATTCATTTTTTAGACCTAATTTTAGCTATTAGATTTTACATCTTATGTTCCCCCACAGCATCTGTCTACAGCTTTCAAACAAAAAGCAAAACCCTTACCCAAACTGAAAGAAAGTGGAAGACTAAAGCAACTGGAAAAAAATGGAATCGAAGGCTTGTATGGTCACAATAATTTCTTATGGACTTTTACCACTGGAACTGAGGTGGGTTGCACCATCCCCCAACCACTCCGACTTATACATTTGGCTTGTTACCTGAAGCAACAGTGAATTTGTGTTCCTCCGATATTTTATTTTGCATTATCCTAAAAAACAGAACAAATAAAGTTTCATCATTAGAATCAGGGGATTCAATTTGCTCCACTATTTTAGATTTTGCCCTAAGACTGGACATTCGGGGTCTCAAGGTGAGGACCAATGGACTGTGAAACACTTACTACACAGAGACCACAAAGCCTCTGGTGCAAAAAAAGTCCATCCAATTAAATCAGTCATAAAACATTTCAAACCGAAACTAAATGGACTACAAGAAAAATGTATTTCAAGATTAGGTTGTGGTTAAATGAAGTGGCCAGATTAAGTTAACATGAACATAGGATAACATTACTTCTTTTAATCTTGTTCCGCTGAGGAAAGGCTTTTTGAACTCCAATCTGTCGGAAATGGGGCTGGCAGTATGGTCTAACAGTGGAGGATGTGTGGTCCAACTGCTGCTAGCAGACATAACTTTATGTAACTCCAAGAGGAAATGAAAGTCTCTAGGGGCAATGCTTGTAAACAGAACAGTGTGAACTGTTTTGTTAGCAAACCTCTACTCTATTCCTGATTCAGACTTAAAATGTATTAGTATTAGATGTGGCCTGTAGTATCTCACTGTAGCTACTTTGACTACTGGGGTAAAGGAACACAAGTCACTGTAACATCTGGTAAGTAATGATGTAAAATATCATATGTAACTAAATCCTATGTTTTCTTTATTTTGATTTTGCATTATGTCAACTACATATTAATCTGTTGTCAAAATGTAAGGTCAGAGTCAATTCTGGGTATGTTATAATAGACACTGATATAGTTTAATAGTCTGTAAGAGGGTATGAGAACATAAGGTATTTTTTCATTCAAGTTGTATTGAAATGAATCACTGTGACAACTACTTTGACTACTGGGGAAAAGGAACAACAGTGACGGTCACATCAGGTAAAAAATATTGCTTTATGTCTTTTACTGTAACTTAACCACCTCAACTGTATAATTCAGTTTATGTAGAATTTAGGACTTTGTTTTTCGTTGAACGAACTTAAACGTAACACTGTGACCAAGCTTTTGAATATTGGAGAAAGGAACAGCAGTAACTTTCACATCAGGTAAATTAAGAAATGAGAAAGAAAAGTTGCTGGTTTCTGGAAAGTGTATTTTGCACTGATTTGTGTAGTATTTCGACCTCTGGGTCTTTGAGGTAAGTGTTTTTGTATGTTGGATATGTTGAGATATTACACTGTGATGACGCTTTTGACTACTGGGGAAAAGGAACCACCGTTACCGTAACATCAGGTAAGCCAATCTCAATTTTTATGTCCCACATTCATTTTATGTTTTCAAAACAAGATTTGTCTCAGTTTTCGTGAAATTCAGTTGTTACACAGTGTTGTCACTTTATTAAAAAATCTGCAGACTCAGTTTATATATCGTATATTTGATAGAAAACAAACTAAATCTAGGGAATAATTTAAAAGGCCATCGTGTAAATCATGTTAATGAGTAAGGAGGTTTTAGTATGGAGTATGGATCATTTGTTATACTGTGACTACGCTTTTGACTACTGGGGAAAAGGAACAGCGGTCACCGTCACATCAGGTATGTAATGCTATTTTTAATGGAGAAAATCATTCGTACTCATTCGACTGAAATTCGTAAAATCGTTTTCATGTGGTGAAGATCACTGGCAAATACCAGGACAGTAGCATTTTGTGGATAAACAAAAACCTGTCAAACATATTTCGGTGTCCGTTCAATTTCTAAGGTTCCAAAAAAACTAAATAATGTTTTATTAAATGACGGCACATACCGTAATAGTGATGAGTTTTTGTTGGAAGGGTGAGTTGACTGGTTTTACTGTGACAACTGGGCTTTCGACTACTGGGGAAAAGGCACAATGGTAACAGTGTCATCAGGTAAGACTAAAATCTGCAGTCATACACGTTTTTGCTATTTAAACCATGTCGTAATGTCTAAAAGTAATTTATATATTCACTTATTCATAGTTACAAAAAGAACAAAGTAATTGTTTACAGCGTTTGAATGAGCTTCAAAGAATATAAGAACAGGGAACCATTTTGAAAACCTGCAGATTAGTTTTTTAAACTGAGGGTGAGGTAGATTCAATACTGTGCTACTACGGTGCTTTTGACTACTGGGGAAAAGGCACAACGGTCACTGTCACCTCAGGTAGGAAACTTTGTTGTTTCTCTAGAAAAGTAAATTGGACATCACATAATTTTTTATTTATGGTCTGTTTCCGTTCTGCATTAATTCGGTGGTTAACAATATTTAGTAAAACTATTGCAGACTTGAAATGTAACACAACATTTTCATCAGGTTTTATTTCTATATTAATTCCAAATATTTCAAGGACAAACCTTCTAAAAATTGATTGTGATGTTTACTGAATTTTTGTTAGATTTGTTAATATTTTGTCAATTTATATTTTGTATGATTGAAATGCCATAGTAAAATTTGATCAGGTAGGATTTTAACTATTAACAATCATTATGTAAAACAAAAATTCTTTCTTTTTTGACAATGCTAAAAATTCATGGTAATTAATGGTGAGTATAGATGTTGGGTGACTTAATTTATTTTTATTAAATTGTGAGATCAATTAAATGTTAAAGAATTCTCTCGTCAGGATCAGTAGAATACCCTTTTAATATTAAGAATTTAGATAGATTCACCTTTGTGTTACGGTGTTGCTTTTGACTACTGGGGTAAAAGTACAATGGTGACCATCTCATCAGGTAAGAAACTACTAAACAAACTATTAAATTTAAGCGATGAAACATTTCTGTCAGAATATGCTATTAACTGTGTTTGATTTCTTTACTCATAGGAAATATCGTGGTCCAAATTATACATGTGAAAGTCAATTCCTAATTTTCTGGTTGTTGAATAGCACAAATTAGTTACATGGATCGTAGTTCAATAAATTTATTGAAGAAACTAAAAAACAGAAAAAGTTAGCACTTGAGGCTTTAAACTTAGGACAAAAATGTGAAGAATGTTCAGATATTCTCAAAACATTTTTTGGCAATTGTTTAATTTTTCTATGTAGTGTTGTAAATATATTTCTTTCTTCTTTCTCAGCGACTTCTAAGGGTCCAGATGTATTTCCTCTGATGCCATGTGGTTCTGGTAGTGGAGACACAGTCACCCTTGGGTGTCTTGCCACCGGATTTACTCCCTCCACGCTGACTTTCTCGTGGAATCAGGACGGCTCATCTTTGACTGACTTCATTCAGTACCCTCCAATTCAAAAAGGCAGCGAATATATGGGAATCAGTCAAATCCGAGTCAAGAGACAGGACTGGGAAGCAAGAAAACTATTCCAATGTGCCGTAGAACACGCTGAGGGAAAAGGACAGGTTCCTTTCGTCAAGCCAAGTAAGACCTATGCTAAGTTATTAATCGTATCATATTTGATTTTGACCGTAAACGGTTTGTCTGTTTTTGATTATTCACAAAATTCACGATCAGTCTTAAATCCAATTTATTGTCTAGAAAATATCTTTAGATTTTGACTCTTAGGTGGGTATTAACAGTAAATGTGGGTAAAATACAATTAAACACTTGTACAATCTTTTTATTTTACATTGTCTTAAATTAGGAAATATATATGTGTGTGTGTGTGTGTGTGTGTGTGTGTGTGTGTGTG